TTTATATGTAAATTTACAAACTTTCCAAGTTACTTTAATCACCTTGCCTGCACTTTTACAGATTTTCCACTTCATTTTATTTTATTTAGTTTGTATACAACTTTACATACATTCCACGTTAGTTTACTCACTTTGTACGCAACTTTACAGACTTTACACGTTACTTTACTCACTTTGCACGCAACTTTACTGACTTTCCAAATTACTTTACTCACTTTGTACGCAACTTTACAGACTTTCCACGTTACTTTACTCACTTTGCATGCAACTTTACTGACTTTCCATTTTACTTTACCCACTTTTCATACAACTTTACAGACTTTCCACATTGCTTTACTCACTTTGCATGCAATTTTACAGACATTCCAAGATACTGCTAGTTTACTCACTTCATAGACTTTTCACATTACTTTAATCACCTTGCCTGCAATTTCACACTTTCCATTTGACTTTACTCAGTTCAAATACAACTTTACAATCTTTTCACGTCACGTCATGCAATATTAGACTTTCCACGTTACTTTACTCACTTTGCATGCAATATTACTCACTTTCCAAGATACTGTTAGTTTACTCACTTTATAGACTTTCCACGTTACTTTAATCACCTTGCCTGCAATTTCACACTTTCCATTTGACTTTACTCAGTTCAAATACAACTTTACAATCTTTTCACGTCACGTCATGCAATATTAGACTTTCCACGTTACTTTACTCACTTTGCATGCAATATTACTCACTTTCCAAGATACTGTTAGTTTACTCACTTTATAGACTTTCCACGTTACTTTAATCACCTTGCCTGTAATTTCACACTTTCCATTTGACTTTACTCAGTTCAAATACAATTTTACAATCTTTCAACGTCACGTCATGCAATTTTACAGACATTCCAAGTTACTTTACTCACTTTGCATGCAATATTACAGACTTTCCAAGATACTTTACTCACTTTGCATGCAATTTTACAGACTTTCCACGTTACATTACTCACTTTGTATGCAATATTACAGACATTCCAAGTTACTTTACCCAGTTTGCATGCAATATTGTATGCAACTTTATAGACTTTATAAAATTTGGCACAGAACTTTGCACTTTCCTCAACAGCATGTATTGCCAATCAAGCAACAAACTAATTACTATCCATGGTGAGATATGATATTTGCATAATGCAAATTATCATTTATGACCAGTGTTTCTTCATTTCATCGGATACAAGGTCTAAAGTCTCTATTACAATTTCAATATTTGCATGCTCATACATACAGAATGTGTTCTTTCATTGAGGCAATTTCCAATTCAACTTTACTTCTTGCCAACCAACTTTGGCCTGAGGTTTTTGACTGGAATTACTTGAACTCAAAAGGTATCACTGTAGCAGAAATGTCTATGGAGTCGAAACGATTCACCAGTTATTCAAGCACTGTATATGATAATACAATTTATACTTGTGGCACTGAATCTGGACTCATTTCATTTTACATATATGTAAGAATCGTTCTTGAATCCATATTACATTTTTTTGTTTGCATTATGTAAAGAATCTATGGCAACAGAAAGCCCAGAACAGATTATCTTTTTTTAATGTGTAGTTGAGAAAATATGTTGTGAATATGTTTCAAGTGTGATTAATAATCAGAGACTAATTTAACCACAATTAAACGATTCTGCTTTGATTAATAACTAGTTTTCAAACAGTATTGGCAAAATGCCATTTCCCAGTTTGGCATTTCTTGCGACAGTGTCATGCACAAATGCATTACTAGTGAAAAAACAAAAACATTCAACACAAACAAGTGCATCACTGGAGAATTAATAAATGTCTATAATAATACATCAAAGTATGTTTGGAGTAATTGGTCCTTTAGCTTGTTGCTTGTATATCGTCAAATAATTGTAATGTGCAGTATGAATATTTATTAGGTCTATTACATCAAATGTATGATTATTCATTAGGTCTAATACATCAAATGTATGAATATTTATTAGGTCTATTACATCAAATGTATGAATATTCATTAGGTCTAATACATCAAATGTATGATTATTCATTAGGTTGAATACATCAAATGTATGATTATTCATTAGGTCGATTACATCAAATGTATGATTATTCATTAGGTCGATTACATCAAATGTATGAATATTTATTAGGTCTATTACATCAAATGTATGAATATTTATTAGGTCTAATACATCAAATGTATGAATATTCATTAAGTCTAATACATCAAATGTATGATTATTCATTAGGTCTAATACATCAAATGTATGATTATTCATTAGGTCTAATACATCAAACGTATGAATATTTATTAGGTCTAATACATCAAATGTATGAATATTCATTAGGTCTAATACATCAAATGTATGATTATTCATTAGGTCTAATACATCAAATGTATGATTATTCATTAGGTCTAATACATCAAATGTATGAATATTTATTAGGTCTAATACATCAAATGTATGAATATTCATTGGGTCTAATACATCAAATGTATGATTATTCATTAGGTCTAATACATCAAATGTATGAATATTCATTAGGTCTAATACATCAAATGTATGATTATTCATTAGGTCTAATACATCAAATGTATGATTATTCATTAGGTCTAATACATCAAATGTATGATTATTCATTAGGTCTAATACATCAAATGTATGAATATTTATTAGGTCTAATACATCAAATGTATGAATATTCATTAGGTCTAATACATCAAATGTATGAATATTCATTAGGTCTAATACATCAAATGCATTTCAAAAAAACTTTTTGTCAACAGACCTGGAGTTTGGACACCATACATTCATTAAATAGATGGGAGATAATGAATGGTACACAGAATAAATCAGATGGGTTCCTATGTAAA